ATAGAACATCGAGTCGGCCAAACAAAGCCCTACTAAGGCAGTCCGTATTTTTTCAACTATCTTCAAGTATTTTTGATGCGAGCATATTTTACTTTTTATTGAAGCATGCAATTAAAATAATAACGATAAATATGCATTTTTCTCTTAATTTTCTAACATTTGTCTTTCTGGACGATGACGCGATCAGGTGGGAGAGACTCCAACTGCGGACATGTCGGCGCTGATCTCGACTACCGAAAAGGTTCAGCTTAAAGGTATTATTTGCGTTTTGTTGCTGCCTCTTGTGTTTAACCACGACAACCTATCAAACTGGCTCCCTTGTAGACCTGCAAGTCGGTCAGAAGGCCTGTCTGTGATGAAGCAAATGCCATCTACACCATAAAATGAAAGGGGGACGTCTCTGAGGCAACCGGAGTTAGTTCCACAGGCTCAAGTAAACGTTCGAGTCACCTGGTCGTCGAACCTCAGAACCACACAACTATTGCCCAGTCTGGCTTGGGAAGGAAAGTGAGAGAGAGCAAGTGGGCTTGATTCTTCTCATTCTCTAATATTGCTGGGTTGACTTTGACTTTGTGTTAAAGTGTGTGTTACGCTCTGTTTTTGATACTCTCAACTAGCATTGCTGCTATTGCACCAACCGCGCCCACACAAGTACATGTATTCACACAAATTAGCACACACTTGCATTCACATAGACGGGTATGATGTTGAACTTTCCTATCATTCGTTATCTCTTTAGTGGGTAGAAACCGATGGTTGTCTTGTCTTGTTTCTGGCTTGCCGTTGACCTTAAGAGTGAGGTATGCCACCCAAACATGTTCATCACATGAAATGGTAAAACTATGCAGCTCAGTCCCAGGGAGCTCCTTTCTTTGGACTGAGTAAAACAGTCTTTCTGCAGTAGATTTTTGTAGTTAAGACAAAATCAAGTGGGGGTTGAACTGCCTGATGAAGAGATTCGCCCGAACATTCCTGTTGCTCTGTCGAGGTGCACGCTGTTGTGCTGTGCCTGGGGCAAATCTTGCATAACATTATTTCAAGGACGTGGTCAGCTGCGAACCCATCTGCTTTAGACATCGTTGAGGCGAGTTTTGTTTTATGTCAAAGTGCTTATTAAAGAGACTTTCAGCACGTACAAGCGTCCTGCCAATTGACAGGCATCATCACAGCCCATTTCATATTTGCGCAAACTTTGAGCTGACACTAAGTTGGGAAGCCGGTATGCTAGTGAGTACGCTTCGATATTCTAAGCAAAGCAAGGGTACCTCCAAAGGGGACAATTTATTCTTCAAATTTGAGGAGCTATTTCTGGGAGGCGAGTTTTGGTAGAGTACTTTGGATAGACAAGCATTGCTCCAGGCTCGATTGAGTCTTAACGTAGAAACTTTGGGTGGATGACCGCTCAAAATGAAACAATGAAGGTGCAATGATTTGGTTCATTTCGGTACCTTCTTCGGTGCCCAACTGTCATGGAGGCCGAGGCGGTCTGTATCGGCTGTATCGAATCCTGTTGGAGCTCAAGAATTCAATCGGTTTTGAACTCTAAGAAGGCGAGGCCAAGTGTGAAATTCACTTGCCTAAATAGGCATATTCCCCTCGTGGTATAAAAGAGCTCAACGATCAGTTCGTGAATTGTCCATAAATGACCAAGTGAAACTCAGGACAATCTCAAATGTCCGACCATTCTGAGCCCGACTGCGATGCCATTTTGTTTCTGTTCGAGAAGGAGATACACTCAAAAATCAGTTCTTTTGTTGCGCATAAGCGACCAAGACTGACTGGGCTTGAGTTTGAATGAATTCGACTGCGATCGAACTTTGTTCGACTTTGACTACGAGCGAACTCGATGATCCGTCTTTGAACCGGCGTAAGCGACCCAGGCTGACTAAGTTTCCATTGCAACATTGCTGGTTGTCTAAAAAACCAATCATTTAAAGAATTGCCTCAAAGTATGCATTAAAATGAGCTCCACCTCTGCTTGAGTCTGCCTTAGTCTAAAACGGAGGCAAGGCTGGATCGTGGACAGGGCCAATGTGAGACCCGTATTTTGCTAGAATCTAGCTACCTTCGATTTCGCCAACAGGCATATTCTCCATCAGATATAAAGAAAAGTTGGATTTTGATGAACTCCACAGTGATTCGGGTTGAATCTATCTTCCATTTCGAAAAAATGTTTGGTTGGAGGCAATTGGTGAGTTGGTCTTACCGGAAAATATTTGAGGCTTGCTTTCAATGGAAGTTGTGCCAAGAACTCCTCGGCTTATTTTGTATATTGTGTATTATTTTTTCCTCGTAAATGATCGATTTTCTTACGGTTGTACAGACAAAAGCTTAGCATAAGTTCAACGGGATTGTCGGACATTGAGCCTAGGACTTCTGGACGCAATCCTCCAATCTTCACTTTTGTGCAGTAAATCCTATTTCGTTTTTTCGTGAGGGAGTAGGTTTACGAGGCACAATTCACATAAGCGTAGAAAAGTTGGGTTTCGAGAAATCTCTTGTTTCATAATTGTTAAACTTACTTTCATTTCGAGTGAAAGTGTTGGGTCAAGAGATGCGAAGGTAGGTTCCACCAGAAGACGACGGCGGATTCCTCTTGACCAGCTGTTGATTGGCTTTACTAGAACATTCATGCTGACGCTGTTTCCGAGGTAATCTCCTTATATTTAGAAAGGGGGAGATAGGGGTAATCGAACCTTGATGGCCAAAAACAGACGTTCATTTTTGCTGTCATAATTACTTTGAGCCATCACTGCGGGTTTCGTGCATAAGTGAACACAAACAGGTACATACAAATACAGAGACAGACACACTCACCTGCATAGAAGTTGACATGTGACCTTGACTAACCAAATAACTTTATATTTTATCAGAGGCCAGATGTAGAGTATATATACCACTTTTTAAGGATTTGCCGGTTCGTTTTCTTGACTCGTTAGCTTGAATTTTGCTGTGACGATGATACCTCGCTCTGATGATGTCCATCATATGACGGACGAAAGCTTAGCACCTTTTCACCGGAATCGAAGGAGATGATCTCGGAAACAGCGTCAGCATAAATGTTCCAGTAAAGCCAATCGACAGCTGGTCAAAAGGAATCCGCCGTCGTCTTCTGGTCAAACCGACCTTCGAATCTCTTCACCCAATACTTTCACTCGAAATGGAAGTAAGCTCAACAACTCATATAATCCGGCTTCGTGTTCAGGTGAGGCCACTTAGTTTATTCTTTTCAACCAACTTTTGCTTGAAAACGAAAAGTCATCCAGAAATTCTTCTTTCAGCAATTCAAAGGTCAACCGACTGGACGGCTTGGCTTTATCGTCGCATTCGTCTTTTATCATGAGCCCCTGAATGCGGTCTCATGTCGTGTGGATGCACGTTCTTAATTCCCACCTTTGCCTTCGCATTTGCCCCACCCTCCATCTGTCACAGGACTTCGCCAGCGTCTCAACGGTCTGGTGCTTGGGGCCCTGTTGCCTAGGACACATCAGTACATGACGTACCAAGGCTCACTGCCTTTCCCCGCCTGCCATGAGACGGTCACTTGGATCGTGCTCAACCAGCCGGTGATCGTCACAGAGACTCAGGTCGGTCGACACCACCAACCTGTTTTTACCCACTTATTTAGTTAAGTTGCACAAGGCTCCTGGTGAAGAAAGAGAACAATTTCAACTTCATATATACTCACATGAAATAGAAGAAGAATAAGTAGTATTAATATTAGCAATAGAATGAAAAAGAGACGATTAAGAAGAAAGAAAAAAAGAAGAAGGGAAAGTAGTAGCAGAGGCAGAAGAGGAAGAAAGAGATAGATTATTAGTAATAGTAAAAGAAAAAAAATGGAACAGAAAAAAAGGAGAAGTAGTAGAAATAGTAGAAGTAATAGGGTAATAAGAAATGGTAGTAGTAGTACTAAAAGTAGTAGAAAGGAAGAGAAAACATAAAAAAATAAATCTAAAAATAAAGTTTGAGAGAGAATTATAATAATAAAAAGAAGGGGAAACTGAAGTAAAATAAGAGCAAGAACTAGAAGTAAGGGAAGAAGAATTATCTATATCCCTCGTCTTTGGAATAGGGAGATCAGATAAGGAGAATCTGTCTTTTGGTCACATACTGTCCACCCTGGCACAATTTAAAACAAAGTTTATTCCCTCCAGCTGTATTGCAGAAGATTGGTGGTCCAACACGTCGACCGTTTCGTTGGGGCCCCGGTGACATTACTTAATTTTATATGAGTAGCCTTCGATACATTCATTTATCTTTGACTAAGAATTTAGTCAGATTACGTTGCTTCAGGTGATTTAAAGACGGATCGTCTACTAAGCTGATTAAATTGTTATCCAAACATCATCGATAGTCCCTTAAACTATTCATATCTCGTATCTCGAACGATTGCAATGACATATATATATATTTGTGCTATCGACGATTCCACTCCAAAAATGTTATTTAGCAAAAGCTTGTCATGCCTTGTGTATCAGATTCACAATGAGATCCACTCGCACGCATGACTATGTAACCAAATCCTGTAATGGCCACAATGTTCACGACCAGATATGGAATTCCTCTAGGGCTGTCGATCAGACCGGGGCAGGAACCAGCCTGCAATTCTCGAGAGAACCACTTTGGAAGGTCAGGCTAGCCGGAGTCCAATTGTATCCTGGGTTTATTCGTCAGATAGTGGAAAATTCCATATGTCTGTCCTTAAATCACCTTAAACGGCTTAGGCTAATCAAGATCCTCCTTAAACTAACGAATTCGGCTTTCATTGGCCCCAAAAAAGAGTTTTTATCGTCGAATTGTATGACATGACTCAATTGTAAGGGTCCTGATTGATGCGCTGAATGCAAGTTGATTTGTGCAAATAGACTGTTTTGTCCACTTTTTCCTCGTCCGTAGACAACTAACCTGAGGCGAATTGGATAAAAGTTCACTACATGAAAGTGCCTCTTGACAATTCATCTGAGGTATATACTACTCGCCAGCTGGCGAACAGAGTAGTACCATGAAGTTGTACAGGTACGGATCAGCTGGACTTTTCGTGATGGCAGGCAAACAACGAGCAAGTAGTGTGAATATGAGATTTCGTTGCCAAAACTTATTCGAACAGGCGAACATGCATGAATCTATAGATCGCCAAAGGCCATCTAGGGCCTGATTGCTGAGTTTTCCTATACAATATAATGAATAGGACCCAGGATGCTATAAAATTTCACATTTGGCCCTGTCTCCCAAAAGGCAATCTCCTTTCGATTCTTCTGATTGCAGAAAAGCACAAATGCCATTTTTTACATCACCTTAAGCGGCCTGGGCTGACTAAGTTCTTATTCAAGAGTTATTGATAGTCTCAAAAACTACTTATACTAAAGGTAAGTAGTCGATTGTAATGGTAAAATACATGTTTGCCTAATCGACAATCACACTATTTGATGCACATGTAACTAATATGTCATATTTTCTCCGTTGCCCATAAGTACTTGTGGCTTTGCGCTTCAATGTAAACCTTTCCAATACACCCACTATCCTGAAGCAAATCCCGACGTGGGTTGCTTGCGCTAGGTTGGGCTGAAATCGAAACCAGGCTTAAAATAACGTTCAAGACTGAACTAGCAATCTCAAAATCAGTTTAATCTACCTAAGCTGAATGAGTTCTGATTAATATTCTCATATATGAGTAGTATTCACTCTATTTCGTTT